TCCCCACATATCTGAAAAAGAACTTTTTATTGTCCTTGATGAAATGGCATTCTTCACATACATATATTAAAGCAGTTGTACTCTGAAGGAAAATAACATGTAATATATTCTTTAGCAGAGAGGCTTTTGTTAAGACAACATAGCCTTTGAACAGTTGGGCTAGAACTTTTTTAGCTTCTGGAAGAATTTTTTCTTGCACAATGCTTTAATCACGCAGGATTTTTAAACAGCAATTCGAATACACAGGACATGGAAAAAAAATTACCTAGCACCTATTCATCTGGGGACTAAGGCCTATTTACATGGGAAAACCTGCCAGAATAATTCTGGCATAACTTCAATCATAAGAAACTAGGGCTGGAAAGGACTTCACAAAGGCACCTAGTCTTAGCTCCCTGCTCAAGGCAGGATCATCTTTGACTAACCTGTCCCAGTCAAGGGCTATAGGCTATACAGGAGGGAGGGATAGGACAGGAAGGAGAGGTACGGGTAGGGCACTGCAGCTGTATCTTATCCACCCAGCTGAACATGCCCAAGTCATGTGCAGGGATAGGGCAGGTTACGCTCCCTGCAAGGTGGCACCTCTGCACCCAGGGGCAGTGGAACAGGCCATATGCATTATAGCCTAGGCTGTCCCCTGTACCTAGGTTGGATGGGGCCAGGCTACCTGCCACAGGCCCTGTAGAATCACTTAGTGGGCCAGATCCAGCCTACAGGATGTAATTTTGCCCACTCTGACTTAGAGCAGCCCTGTAAGAGATGAGTGTCCACTCTGTCCTAACGTCTATGCTGTTTTTACCCTAATGAAACTGTCACTTCTTCATCTGTCTCATCTCTCTTAAGTAAAAGCAAACATTTCCATAAACTATTCCCACAAATGAATATAATGCTAGACATTTACTGTAGAATCTGTGCAAGAGAAGTTATGCAAACTCATTAGTGCAGGATGTGCTAAAAAATGAAGACTTAATGGAAGCAGCAAGGGATCTATAGCAAATCCTGTTGCCAACATTCATTCTAAGAAGGTGGATGGAAGTACTAAATATTTATGTTCTTACCGCACACCCAGCTCTTTGGTCACATTCTAATATTAAAAAAGCCTTAATCTATCGGTCTCTGTCCCTAATGCTTTATTTATGCTCTGATTGTCTGACAAACAGCCAATCAGAGTGCAAAGAAGCGTTCGGACAGGGTGTGGCAGCGTAGCGGGGACCTGGTCCCTGGAGGTGGCAGCAATAGAACGGATGCAACAGGCCTCGGCCCGCCCCTCCCCACTTCTGTTATTGCTGCCTCCAGGGCTGGTGCAGTGGGTAGAGGAATGGGCCTGTGGGGAGCAGCGGGCATGCCGTTGTGGTGCAGGGAGGGGGGAGTGGCCCTGGGCCTGATGCAAAGTGGGGGAGGGGAGGAGGAGTGAGCCTTAGGTGGGGCAGAAGCCAGCCTGCCACAGCAGTGGGGGTGGGGAGCAGCGGGCCTGGCCTAATGTGGCAGGGGGAGGGGAGGAGCAGCGGGTCTCTTCCCCCCGCTTCCCCCCAAACGTTGGCCCCGAGCCCACTCCTCCCATTCCCCTGCCACTACCGGGTCAGCCTGGACCCGCTGCTCCTCCCCTCCCTGTGGCGGCCCTGTTTCTCCCCACCCTTGGGCCCGTTCCTCCCCTGCCACTGTAGTGGGGAGGTAGGGTGTGGGCACAGACCCCAAGCAGCAGGAGTGGAAGGGGGGGAGGAGTGGGCCTGTGTTGCATAAATTGTGGATTTTATCCCCTGGAGGCTAGTCCAATTCACCTCTAGAAGAGAGTCACACTTTCAGGCTGGGTCCAACTCTATTTTATTGCTTGCAAGCAGGCCGACAGAGGAGCTTGTTGCTCAAATCAGTGTCGACCCTAAACAAAGCACGCGCGCTGCTTTTATTGAGCTAGCAATTTTTAGTTGGCGTGTTACATTTTGATTGGTCATTACAAAACAAAACCTGGGCAACATGTAAGACATGCATAGTGGGCCATCCTGTACCATGTGGGTGGAAAGTTACAGAATGCAGGGGTTAATACTAAAACAAGGAACAAAGAAACATAGAGAAAAGTATCTATTTTTGCTACACCTGGATGAGGGGGCATGGGGCTTCATCCCTGCCTGCTCTCCCCATCATTCTTGACAGGCAGTTGGCTAGTCCATTCATAAATGGCCCAAACAGTGGTGATTCCAGAGCAGGAGGGATCAAAAGAAATGACCTCTTTGACCAATAAATCCTCTCTCAGCCAAATTGTGTGTGCATATCAAATCTACCAAGTAACCCTCAGTAAATATTTACCAGCACTTGTCACAGGGAGGTGCAGGGAATAGATTACAGCTCTGCTTCAAGTCCCAGCCCCATGCTGGTACCACCTTGCCTTCCTGTCAATATGATGTTCTGAACAGGGACAGAGTACCACAGGAGTATGGTAAGGAACTTAATCCTCGAGCTGTCAATAGGTAACTGATGGATTGCATGCCCTAAAAGGCTGTCTTAGATTCCTTGGACATGAGGGTGCGCTCCACTATAGCCCCTGTTCCTGCAGGTGAACTTGATTTGTAGTCATCTGTAGATGAGCCAATGATCACTGAGAACTTGCTTATCAAGTGCTACAATCCTCAGTATATAATAACCACTTATCCTCTTCCAGTCTCTGTAACTTGTCGTTTAGCTTAACTTTGCATTCTGCACATTCCTTACCCTTACCTTCTATTTTTTGACCTGTGTATCTATAGTTCCTGTGGCTTTTACCTGTTAAACAATATCTTAAATATCAAGAGTTCTTTGCAAATACAAGGTGCTCCATAATTCCTTAAGAACTTTCTCTTTTGAAGCAGAGATCCTAATTAATTTTTAAATAATTGTTGTTATAAAATACCCCTCAATTCTCGAAACTCTCTCATGCTTCTAAAACTTTAAATCTGCCTCCCTGTTAAGATGGCTGCCTATAAATTCATCATGGGGGCACAGAAGGGAATTGGTGAGGCCCTACTCAACAAGGCGCCCCTGGGGGTCACAAGAAATAATGGCCATAAGCTAGCAGAGAGCAGATTTAGACTGGACATTAGGAGGAACTTCTTCACAGTTAGGGTGGCCAAAAGCTGGAATGAGCTCCCAGGGGAGGTGGTGCTCTCCCCTACCCTGGAGGTCTTCAAGAGGAGATTGGATGGGCATCTGGCTGGGGTTATCTGAACCCAGCACTCTTTCCTGCCTATGCAGGGGGGTTGGACTCTGATCTATAGAGGTCCCTTCCAACCCTAACATCTATGACTCGCTGATACTTCAAGAACTCTCAAAACTTTCAGTAAAGGGAATCTTCCCCATACTTCAATAAAATGTTTTTCCTTTTTGCATTACTTCAGCTGTGATAGATAGTGAATTTCAGCCCCTTATCCATCCAAGAACCTTAGATGTAGTTCCCTGCCCTCCTCAGGACAAAGTAATTCTTAAAACTGTGCTCAAAATATAATGAACAATGCAGCTGAAATATGTGCTTTAGCACATTGTTAAATAGTGACAGCTGTGTGGAATGCATCTCCTCCAATAACTGGCTGTGCCTTATACACTCCAGTCGGTTTTATTATCTTGGCTTTGACTTCAGATGCAATCAAGCCACAGGGTTGAGGATGAGAACTGTATTAAGCCTCTGCAGAGATGTAAAGCATTGGAACAAGTTACTCATAGAGCTTGTGGAATCTCCATCCTTGGAGGTTTTTAAGACCGGGCTAGACAAAGCCTTGAGTCGGATGATATAGTTTGGGATGGTCCTGGTTTGAGCTGGAGGTTGAACTAACTGACCTCCTGAGGTGAGGTCCCTTCCAACCCTATTTTTCTATGATTCTATCTATGATTCCATGTATGCAAAGTAAATTAGAATAACTAGCTGGTGTTCTTATCGTCTCTTGAAATATAGGAAGACTGAAGCCTTGGGGGGAAACAAAAGAAACCAGTACCCTGAATAAATCAGTGAAAAAGAGTCTCTCTTCACTTAAGAAAAATTACAAACAACCACCTCTCCAGACCAGGTCAGTACAAGACCTTGTTCAACCAAAATTTGGAAACTTCTAGTGCCATTCACCTCAAGGACTTCTTAATGCTTGTGTATTTGGTCTTCTCTGTTTAGTATAATTAATGATGCATCTGATTTCTTGCTTCCAATATAGTGACATCTTTTGTTTTTCACTTTCAGAGAAGAGAGGCGTGAAAAGCATGAGCAGGAGAGAAAACAGAAAAAGACCCAGATGCTTCGAACCCGCAGAGGGTTGACCATGGCTTAAGAATTTTAAAATGTCTCAATAACTTGTTGTAAATAGTCTTCTCTGAGGAACACAACCAGTTCTTCCCTAATTTTGTAAATATTTTCTATATGTATTTTCTATGAATAAGATCAGCTGACTTGACTTAACCAGTTGTTTGTAGGGTAGGGTTGTTTCAGTGGTGCTGGGCTTAAAATCATCTGTTAGTTCTTAAATTAACAAGTATGATATTAGCATCTTAAGTCCTTTTAATGTCTGTAGTAGAGCCCCTAGTATTGCTAATGTTAAGTTGATTGAATTAGGTCTTGGACTGGATGGATATTGTATATGTTAAATTTGGGGAAAAAGACTTCCCCTTAATCAGCAGATTCCATGAATCTGACTGAAAATTAAGGTGGGGAAATACAAGTGATAAATAAATACGTGGGTAACCAATTCACATGTTGAGTCAAACTTTTCTGTTGGGAATAATTATTAAGATTCTAAATAAATTCAAAATATATATCATTGACAAACCTCAGATGCTGTTGGATGCTTTCTCTGGCTTTCCAGAAGAAATTGTTAAAACAGTAAAGGACAATCTCTAATAGAGGGAAGAAAAAGTGTACCTGAGCAGATTTAAAATGCTGATATTGCTTCCACTGGTGTAGTTGTGTGGTTTGGGTTTTTTTTGGGGGGAGGGGAGGAGCTGGCTTGCAAATGAGGAAGGGAGGGGCGG